GAGGAGGAGGAGGAGGAGGAGGAGGAGGAGGACTAATAGTAGTAATAATAATAAGAGGGATACGAATAAGCCGAGCCATACTACGAATATTAATAATAACAACGATACTAATAATGCAAATACAGATAAGAAGACGAAACGTAATACTAATACTACTAATACTAAGAATACGAAGCATACTACTAATACTAATTTGAAGAATAAGAATAACACTACTAATCATACGAAGACGACGACGAGGAATACTACGACGACTAATGATACTAATAATACTAATTATAATACGACGACGAAGAATAGTACTACGACGACGAAGAAGACTAATACTATTCAGAAGAAGACTGATCATACTACGAAGAATGATGGTACGAATAATAGTAATACGACGAATAAGACGAAAACTAATACTACGAATAAGAAGAAGCATGATACTTATAATGAGAAGAGTTCGACTAATACTGAGACTAATAATGATACTAAGAATAATAATACGGTCACCAAGACTAGCAAAACTAATAAGAACAATACTAAGACGAATAATACTAATAAGAAGACGACTACGATTACGAATAATAATACTGATAAGAAGAAGGAAGACGATATTATCAAGAATAATACTAATACCAATGAGAAGAATTACAGTAAAAAAGCATAATACCAATACGACGAATAATACTACGAATACTAATAATAAGAAGAATACGACTAACAAGAATATGACTATTCTTCATATTATTAATTCATAATAATAGTAAGAATAGCAGTACTATGATTATTAATATTAATTATACTAAGAAGAATAATCGTACTATTACTAAGAAGACGACGAATAAAACTAATCATAATAATAATACTCATACTCATATTATAATAATACTAATGATAGTAATAATACGAGTAATAATAAGATTGATGATACTACTAATAATAATAATATTAATCAGAAGAAGAATAAGAAGAAGAGGAGGAGGTGGAGGAGGAGGAGGAGGAGCAGGAGCAGGAGCAGGAGCAGGAGCAGGAGCAGGAGGAGGAGGAGGAGGAGGAGGACGAGGAGGAAGAGGACGAGGAGGAGGAGGAGGAGGCGGAGGAAGGAGGAGGAGGAGGAGGAAGAGAAGGCGGAGGAGGAGGAGGATAAGTTGGAGGAGCAGGAGCAGGAGGAGGAGGAGGAGGAGGAGGAGGAGGAGGAGGAGCAGGAGGAGGACAAGGATTGAAACGGACGGGGGAGGGTAGACCTCCCAGATGGGTGCCCCGACGGGAGGGATGCTGCAAGCTGCGTGAACCCATCCCCTCCAGGCATCTGCGAGGACCTTATCGAGCGCTGATTGTTGGCGAAGCGCGGCGGCTGATCTGGCAGCGCCGGTGGCTCTAGCCACACGGGCCCAGCCTGGTCATCGGATGCTGCGGGTTGGGAAGAGTGAGGCCCCCAGAGCCCACGCGCCGCCTGTCGTGTGGTGGCGTCTCTGCCCGTTTGCCCGTCTCACTCGGTCTGCCCAGGCGCTTTCTGTGCGCCATCGGGGCCCCAGCCCACCACGGCCCGTCAGCAGACTGCTTCGCTTCGCTGCGCTTCGAGGCCCCCAGAGCCGCTTTCCTGTTGCCCTGGAGGCTGCGTTTCCGAGAGCAGAAGAAAACCCTAGACATTTTTCTTGGCGGTCCCGCGGCACAGAACCGCCCACCGTCGGGGTCACCGCTTCGTCCATGCCTCTGCTGCTTCCTTCAGTCCTGGGCGCCGAGGAGGTATGCCGCAGCCCCCTGTGACCCCGGGGGCTGGAGCGCGTGCAGCGGTATCGGATAATCCACCCCCTCACGCTTATTGAACAATTCGGCGTAACGCGACTCGGCGTTCTCGCCGTCTTCGCGGAAAATCACGACCAGACCCCTAGGCTTTATCTTTCGGCGGCATTTTTTTGAGCTGGATCGATCTGCGAGGGTGCCAGGCGCGAAGCAGGAAGAGATCGCCCGTTGTGACAAATGCGACGCCCCAGACGTTTGGCGTACTCATTTTTTCTAGACATGGGCCCCCGACCTCTCGACCGCTTCCCCGGGACCATTTTTTCATCCCGAGTTTTTCTGTTGACGGTCCCGAGGACCGGCAAGGGCCCCGAGAGGCCGAAAGCGGTGGGAAACCTCGCGTCCCGATTTTTTCGGGACGCTGGACGTCTGACGCCAGCATCTCATCGGGAGCCTCGAGACGGGGGTCAATGCAAACGGGGGTCAGACAGGCCAGAGCGCCGGCTCCCGCAGGATCCTGCGAAGCCAGGGCCGCATTGACCCCGGGACCGGCCTCGTTTTGTTTAGGAGGGGAAGGAAACGGGGACCACGGCCTCTTGGAGACTGAAGAGAACGGGGGACCATGACCTGTTCAGGAGGGGAAGAAACGGGGACCATGACCTCTTGGAACCATGACCATGACCATGACCTCTTTGTTTAGGAGGGGAAGAAAACGGGGAAGACTGAGCGCGGAAACGTCGTGTCGATCTTGGTCACCGTCTCATCTATCGGC